GAGTGGAGTGGTACGGGGTACCCCGCAAAATGTTTGTCCACTACTCCGCTTGTCTAAAATTAAAATACTTATAACTCATAAACTACTCGTCCAAAATTCGATTTTTACGTATCAAAATACTTAGAAAAATATTCTGCTTTGGATTATGAAATTAACGCATTTAAGTATAAGGAAATGAAAATTTATGACAAGGATTCCCATAAATAGTTCCATACTATACTAACTAAAATATATAACAAATATATAACAAATTTATAAATTATTTTTTATTTTTTTTTATCAAAGTTTGGACATAATAATATATTATTTCTATCTGATCGTTACGTGTTTTGTCCCTTAATTTTGGATTTTGAATTTTTGAGTTTTAAAAAAAAAATTTAAAATATTTTAGGTATTTATTTCAAAATATTTTTTGATTTTTCATTTAAATATTCCTATTGTACTTATATTTAATCCGTTATACTGCTATAGAATAGAATCTGTTATGAATATATTGAAGTCTTTTTTCGATTTGAAAGGGATCTGGAGTTAAATATATTGAAGTCAATAACAATTTTAGTTATGTTGGTTAATTTAATATACCTTACTTATATCCTATAGGAGCTATAGGCTATTGGTACTTGACTACCATAGTTTGAATCCATAAGTATATTGGTATAATATGTATTTAGTATGATATTATTCTCACAAATAAATATATTAATGTTTCAAATTATGTTGCAATTTCTTAAGCAATATCATTGCTTAAAATAACTAAAACGTTCAGTTCAAAATGAAATAAATTATTTTTAATATTTTTATTTGAAATACATAATGAAGTAAAAACTTAAACAAATTTAAATTTAATTAAAATAATCAATATTTTACATTACCTGCAATCTGCAGTTGTCTAATATAATATATTTTATGGTAAATTAAGCATAATATGGATAATAGATAAACTACGTTTAGAGCACGGTAGATTATAGAGGTATACGCACGACTATCAAAATCGTGTCCCAAKAAATATGTTGTAAGAAGGTTCTCAGCGCTAGATATAATAATAATAATAATAAATTAATAATATAATATATGTTCTTAATATTTGTTTTATTTAAAATAACAATCTGTGCAA